CTAAAATTTGAATTATACTCTACAGTTTGATACCAAACTTATTGACATAAATTCCTAAAATAGTAGTTTAATAAAATTTTGAATGTAAGTCAACAGATGAAATGGCCTTTCACCCTTAATCCATCTTGAAAGAGTTATATGATAAACATTCGTAAAATGAGTCATTCGTTGTAGGGTGCATCAATAATTTGTGACCTAGATTTAAACATATCATACAAATCTAAAGCCTGATTTAACAGATAACTTATCCTGTTTGTCACATATCATCGTTATTTAATATCTCCACTTATTATATGGCATTATACTTAGCAATACACCTCTTCCTACAGCATATCTCATGCTATAATCTCTCTGTTATTGTTAGTAACCAGAATGTCCAGGTATGGTCCTCATTAAACAGTGGACCTTTCAGTTTCAACTTGACTGGAATTAAACATACAATGAATTATTTAACTATATTAAACTACTGTATAGCCTAAAGAAACATTATTTAGGCTTATGCATTTGTGGCATTAAATAAATGAAAGTTATTTATTTCAAACAAGCTGAGGTATTCATCCTCTATTGGGGTTATACACTTAAAGAAATGTTTGGGTGGATACTATTATAAATAACACAAAAATCCTACCTTTCACAAAATTTATTTACACCATAACATATTATTTCAGTATTCATTATTACCTCACCAAATATTTTTAAGAACTCATTATGTATATACTTAAAACATAGTATATACCGTTCAATGATCAGGGTTACTTTGTAGGAAAAGGTAGTGGCAGTAGGGGTGCTTTCTGTTACCCACTTTCAGCACCCAGCTGTTAATGTCCTAGGGGTGCTTTCTGTTACCTACTTTCAACATCCAGGTCTTAATGTCTTTCCACAGTGTTTCACATGATTAATTAATTGACAGTCATTGCCACAGAAGTGTCTTACAGGCCAAAGTTGAAATATCACGGGTCAAAGTAGGAAGTGGGTATAACTCAAGAAATGGCTCTTCATATCAGCCTTACCGTGGCTGTTGGAGAAGAAACTTCAGCTGAGTTTATGTAGTATTGCAATTTTTTTCATTGCTTTCTTCCATAGAGAGTACTAGTGCACTCTTTGAGATATATGACATTTGTATACACCATATGTATGTTATATAGAAAATTTAATTGTGTTTTTGGTGTAAGGATGTGGTACCATCTATGAATGTAGTTAATGTTAACTTACATCACAGATAATAAATACTCAATATTGTTCCAAACTGTCATCTCACAAAGTTTGTTTGAGATTGGTCCAGCGAGCTAGTAGTATAGATAATGGACAAACAGACAGACATACATATTTTTTGTGTGTGTGTTAGATATATATATATATATATATATATATATATATATTTAAAATGCATGGATATGCCCTACAAGTAAATAAATAGAAAAAAGATTTTGGTCTAAATCTAAAAAGAGTTACTTAGGATGTTTAAACATTATTGAGAAATATGTATCACAGGGCTTTTACAGTGAAGCAGGAGAAATCAAAGATTGTATGTGGAACCTTTTCACCGTGTGGGAAATACTTTGCTGTTGCAGATGACAACAAACAACTTATAGTATGGCAGATAGGAGGAGACCATAAATGGAACTTGTTTAACACAAGGTAGACCACTTTAAATTCTTCTTTATTTTGTAACTAAAAACTTGAGATTAAAGTAGACAAATATGGCAGATTTTTAGAAGAAAATTTCAAATGTACAACACTGGAAATTATTATGGTCTTCCACTCCTAGCAAGCCTAACATCATCGTCTTACATGTAAATGTTGTACTAGTACATCTTAGTAAAGAAGTAATGGATACAATTAACCCTGTTTTTCTCCATTCTCACAAATTCAAGAATACTTAGGAAATTTTTACAGATTAATTAACTGTAGAATTACCAATGTGGTACCATCTGTTTTTAAACTTTATTTTTTTCATGTTTGTTGATTGTAGGGCCCTAATAACAAAATATAAATTTAGAGAAGTACCTTCAATGTTGAATTAATCTCATTAATTATTACTGGGGTTCCATATGAATCTTGGAAAATTAATGATTTAACCCAATTGGCTTGGTCAGCTCTTTACACTGAGTGTTGTGTTAGGCAAAAACATAAAATTACATGATATATGGATCCTACCAGTATAAATGGAAGTCATTAATTTTACTAAAACATGTATACTCAGATTTTAATACTTGAATTTTGGATTGTTTCTTATTAGTTTTAACATTCAGCATCTTAGACAGACAGCTCTTGTGAGGAGTTTCAATAAAAATGAGATGATGACACCAAAATTTCGACATATGAATAACTTACTTGTATAAAGCTAAAAGCAAATAAATATATGCAAAAAACTACACGAAGATGATGGAGTATGTTCCACTGAAACATAGTTTTTTACTTTTTTTTCTGCTTTTAGCTTTATACAAACAAATAACTTATTGTGCATGTCGAAATGATCATCATATTTTTATTAGTTTTGACATCTCATGAGATCCTACCTTTGACAAATTAAGTGGGTGAAAATTTATTGGAATTCCAAACACTACAGCTATATGGTTTGAGAAGATGTTATCCTTTACACTCGTTTATATTCATATATTTAAACAATATTTTATCCTTTACACACATTCATATATTTAAACAATATTTTATTCTTTACACTCATTTATATTCATATGTTTAAACAATATTTTATTCTTTACACACATCTGTATTCGTATATTTAAAGAATATGTTATCCTTTACACACATCTGTATTCAT